GCATGACAAAATTGGCTTTGGATCTGTGACCAGAATCCAGCTTTCCCAAGTCCCATCTACTTAGTATGCCTGGACCATGGCAAGGCATTGATTATCTGTTGGTTATGGAAGACAGGAGAGTTGATGGGAGCAAAACAACTTTCAGAGAGACATTCCCATAAAAAGTCATCATTGCTGTGGTAGGGGGTTTGTTCTTTGCAGTGCATTCCAAAACAAGAATCTGTGTGTACCTCTGCTTGTGGGCCTTCGTGAGCTCAAGATAACTGGTGCTGTGTCTAATGACTCTCTTCTTATTTCTGCTTAGTTTTCAGGACTTTACTTGTTGTCATTCTTCACCATCCTTGTTGGGCTGGTGCTCTACTCCTCCACATCCACCTATGTAGCCCAGGATCCTCGGGTGTACAAGCAGTTTCGAAACCCTTCAGGACCTGTTGTAGACCTGCCAGCGACTGGCCAGCTGGAGCCTTCAGTAACATACACCAGCCTGGGGCAGGAGACAGAAGAGGAGCCTCATGTTAGAGTTGCTTAAACGCAGGGCCGTTGATCACCTACTGATGATTCAGTGGAGCTCGTATATCCGCTATCTCTGTATTGTACATAGAGAAAGGTATTTACCAGGTGCAGTTACACCGGTGAGCTGCAAGGTAGCAAATAAGGAAAGCTCATAAAAATACAAATTACTTGTTCCAGAGTGTTCATTGCAAGGAGATGCCAGTCCCTCATTTATGATGTGAGCAGCATGTTTGCAATACAAACTGCTGTATATGAATCAGTTAATGTCAAACTGCCTGTGAAAGATACTCGGTATCTAAGATGAAATTACATAAAGAAGTTCACAGAAGGGTGTTTCTGCACCCACTGAGCGATATTATGTCTAAGCCACACCAGTTGTGGAAAAGCCGCCTTTTTACAGCAAATACACTTGTGCAGTCCACTGTTAATTTCTCTCTAAGAGTTGTTTGCATAAAGTAGATGGGTTAGTCAGGGTAGCAACAGCCTGACACACTTTTACTAGCTCCTTGGATCTGGTGAAGAAAAGACAATTAATTCATCTGTAGTATCTGTCTAGTTGACCTTTCTAGGTAATCTGTTCCATGAATCCAGAGAAGGGACAACTTACAATATCTGTCTCTATTCTAGGAATAGGTATAAGGCGAGCATTTTAGCCTTTCTATATTTGCAGAAGTGAAGTACGCAAGCATTGACCTCTCTGTGAACCATGGCAGATTTCCTAGCAGCTGAGGTTCTGCATGAGGTGATGGGGAGTTAGTTTCTCTGTAGTCGTGACTTAACACGGATTTCTTACTTTTTAAACTTTAATCTGTAAAGAGAAAAACACATTTTCTAGTTTCCTATGTATTGTACCTCTCCATGGTAAGATGACAAACCATGTGGATCAGGGCACTCATTTTAGATACTCAGTGCATCGAGGGCACTTTCTGCTGTTCCAGTTTGCTGAATCTCCTGTGGTTCACTATTCTAACAATTGCTATTTAGAAATGTGTCTGCTTTTTTTTACCAAAACCCACAAATTGTAAAAATCAGGAAGATTAAGGAAGGAATTCATGAGCTGAAAGTGTGGACCATCTGCTGGTGTTGCTGCAGTAGCTCAAAGGCAGTCATACCAGCAGGGTGCAGCCAGTTATTTTTCACCAACTACAAAACTAGCAGAAGAATTCACCAGTTTACTTACATTCCTGGAGACATGTGAAAATTGTAACGGTGTGCTCCACAACTGTACTTCTACCCCAAGAGCCTTATCAGAATGGGGGATATCAGTCACCACCACAAAGGATCCATCTCTGCCTGTATGTTTGCTCTTCCGAGAGCTCAATAAAAGGAAATTATTATTTCAATATCCATCACTTATTTGCAATTTAAAATTAAGGAAGGAAGGAAAGGTGATCTTAGGTCTAACACATAGGAGAGGGATCCAGGAGAGCTCAGTTTTGTTCACAGATCTGCCACATCTCTGCATGATCCTTGGGCATGACTTACCTTCTGTGTGGCTGTTTCCCAATCTCTATAGATGGGAATAATCATATTTTACCTACCTCACAGGGGTGCTATGGGACCAAGTTATTTTAAGCTGCTTCGGGATCTTCAGAAGGAAGGAGTTTAAGTACACAATAGCACTGTAAAAGTGTGTATACATTCATTGTATTTGAAAATTGAGTTTATGACAGGGTTGATGAATATTTAGCTTATGGGCATAGAAGATGAATTTGATTTGAATGCTGTTCTGCTGAAGAAGCCTGTCTGAAGTGAAAATGTAGGGCTTCACGTTTGAAAAATACAACTTACCTATTTCTGTTTTAAAAAGAAAATCAAGCTATCTGTACTCTGGAGATTAGAAAGGCCACACAGTTCAACCAAGCAGGATCAATTTCTGCTGAGGTAACATTCATCTTTTATAGTCCTGCTCTGCTTTAATATAGAAGGGACTTCCCTGAAGCAGACTAGGAGAAGTATGTATGCATAATATACAAGAAGTGGCAAATGCCAGAATGCTATTGAACAGCAGAAGTATGTTGTATCTTACTGTCACTGTGGAGGAGAAGAGGAGATTTCTGTCCCACTGTGTTTAGGCTGCCTGACACCATCCTGCTGCAGCTGAGGGAAGGGTCTGCAGCATTCACAAACTGTGCCCAAAACTGACCCAAAAGCTTCAGTTAAGATGGCTTGGATTTAAACAAATACATGACTTTTTTCCACCCAACCTTCTGTTTATTTAATCTTTTTAGCGCTGATGTTTCTAAGCTTTTTTCTCTTAAATCGTGGAGGATTCAAATCAAATAAAGCTTCCTATAGAGAAACAAGAGTCCACGTTTTGGCGATGCTAAGAAAGTCTAAATCCTACAGGATTTAAAAAAAAAATAAATAAAAACACACGAGAAACATTAAGGTCCATAGGGTAAAGTCCAGGTGGGAAGTGCATAGTGAGGTGAAGCCCTGATGCACAGGGGCCAGCAAGCATCCTCCAGTCAAGCCTGGCAGAGCTTCGACTTGAGGTGGGTTTTGCACATTTCCCAGGAGCAGGGGTTCTGGTTACAACCACTATGGCTCCCTCAGGTACTCAGAACCACACTGATGGGAACCTGTCGTTTCAGTCTTTTTTGCTACCTTTATACCAATTAAATACCTTTCTCTGAATGTTTGTCCCTGTGTTGGTCTGAGAACCTTGAGGATTGTGTGTGTGTGTGTTTCATGTTTACAGTTCCTTCCTTTTGCATAATTGTTTTGGTTTATTCCATTATTAGTATTTATTTTTAAGCCAAATGTTTGTGGTCCTTCTGCCTCCCCCTCCTCATTTTTCTGACCCTAACTTGTAGATGTTTGTTAGAGTCTTCTCAGAAACAGCAGGGCAGGAGGCATCTGCCGACCAGGTCACTGGGCTGGGAGTTTCTACTTAGAAGGGTTTGTGATCCACAAGTGGCTGAGAGGTGCCATCTGAAGCAATTTTTACAGGCTATCTTCAAAGGCTCTGTTGTACGGAAAGAAGTTACGAATGATTCGGTGTGTACTCTGCACCCAGCCAGCATCCCCTGTGATACTCATGCAGGAGGAGTCTGATGTGCAAAGTGGGGCTGCTACACTGTCTGTGTCTCCTGTTGAACAAGGTGGATACTTGAGTTAGCACCAGTGTGCTCGTGCTGGATGAACTGTAAAAGGAAAACGGTAGTAGAGCTTTACCAGTGACTGTGTTGACTGAAAAACTGAGGTCTAGTAAAGGAAAACATTACTTCTACCTGCTTGTTTTCTGCAGTTCAAGACCTGTGTGCACCAGCAAAGGTTCTGCTATCTAACCGGCAGCTATCTACTCTCTGTGTCACGTAGGACGTCTCTATCTCTGTATAGCTCCTTGCCTGAACAAACTGAAACTCTTGTTATACTGCTGGCCTTGAGCAGCCTTTGGCAAGACTGATGTAATTTTCTGCTACTGGATGAAAATCTTCACTGGGAGACAGACCTTGTCTTTGTTCCAGCTATAAAGTTTTGAAACACACAACGATAGACCAAGCAATTGAAGATTTTGCACCACTGTGTCATAAGAAGTTTCAATGTATAGTGTAGAGATTGCTAACTTGTGCTATTAACACTTTGACAAGCGTGTAGTAACGTTTTCTTTCCTTTTTTTTTTAACCGTTTAGTATTCCTGAGCTAGCTACAAATACAAATTTTACCCCATGGGTAGGATTTTATTGTTAAATGCCATAACAAAGCACACTAATCTTGACAACGCAGATGGAAATATGAATCAAAACCAAAACTGAGCAAACAGAATCCCAACCCCAAGTCCTGCATCAAAAAGCTGAACAAACCTTTCTCCATTTTTATATTTGCATGCACCTATATGGACTGGCTGTGGCAATGTAATGCCTGTATAATGTTTTCAAATAAAAAAAAATAAATGCTTTATGAAAGCAGGGTTATTGGTTTCCTTGCCTGTTTCCTTTGTATTTTCTTAGCCTGAAACAATTTTTCTGATGGTAAATCTTACTGCAGGACATAATCTTTTGCTGCGTTGAGGATTTCTTTTTGTTGTGATGCGGTTCACCTACAACTCCATCCAAGATGTCTTGGCATTGCTGCCATTAGGCACCGTCAGGTATCTTGTCTGGCCTCCAGTTGCTGTTCCAGAAGGCTAAGAGGTTTCCTGTGCAGGATAACAGGTCTCCTGTGCACCCTCTGTTGTAAACTGCCATTCCCCTATGGCTAGCTCAGGTATCCTGATATTTGTTGGTCTCATTTGGACACAAAAGCACTCCCCCCACTGCCTTACAGAAATGATTAATCAATCTAGAATTAATGTGGGGCAATGCATGTGTATGATGTTAAAGGGCTTATCTGGCAGAGGTTATTGAGTGTCTACGGCTGCCTTGCCCAGCCCTCCCTTCTGGCTGCCCTGCCCTGCACTGCAGCACTCTTCACAGCAGAGTCCTGAAACAGAGACAAAACTTAGATACTGGGGGGGGGGGGGGGGGGAGGATTGTCAGGAGGCGCAGAACTGAGGAAAGGAAGAAAATGAGACTTTGGCTCATTTGAAGTCCAGATGGGAAGAAAGGAAAGGAAGATCCTAAGTGTGAGAGCAAGGGATTTTGTGAACATGCATTCACCTCTAAGAGTGTTTGCCAGCACACCCATTTGCCCATCTCTCCTTGCCTGATGTCTCTCGAGAAGTTTCTCATTGGTATTTCTCACATACTTCATTGCTGAAAGTGAAAAAAGGGAACAGAGACTGGTGAGCTCATTTCTAGCCTTCCTCTGCACCATAATTGCGTGCAGCCCCTGACATTACAAAGCCAGCAGTGCTGCACAAATGGGCTGGTTTATGTCTGATTTTCCAGTGGGAATGTTTCCTAAGCTATCAAGAGCTCCAGAAACTGAGTTGGTGTGCATGGCTTTGTCATCCTAACAGTTGGATTTGTATTTTCCTCTGAATCTGCTCAGGAGTCTCTCTGGCATTACAAAAATCTCCTTCTGTTGCCTGGCTGGAATTCAGCATGGGTGCTTGAGTCATATGAATAGTAATTGCTTGGAATTACTCTAAAAATACATCATAAATAGGCATTAATGGATCCTTCTGTGCTTAAATCAAACATGTTTCAACACTGAAGGACACTCAATCAGCTTAAACCTACCCATCTCCCTTTTGTTTTTTGTTTATTTAGAGCTAGTTCTCCAAAATATTACAAATCCGAAGCTGAATGTTTAACAGCAATATGCTATGGCATACAAATAAGAAAGTGATGCTTTTTTACAGTCTCAAGAACTGTTTTGTTAAGTCTGCTCCACCATTTTAAGACGAAAAAAATGCACCAAACCTTTGCAAAAGGGAACACTTATGCAGCCATAGACGGGTTTCACAGCAGTTGCAATGTGGGTACCAAATGTTAACAACACAGCAGTGATGATGATATTGGAATAAGAGTGTTGGCCATGTCATCATCCTCCTCCAATTTTAAGTGCAGGGTCATGGACTGACTGTGGTACTTAATAATAAAAAATCCTGCTATATGGAGGACATTAGTTCCATAGGGCTGGGATCACTAACCAGCGATTAGTTGCCACCAACAGGAGACAAAACCCCACAAATTGACTACAGAAAGGCAGTTGTAACCCTCAGACATTGTTACTTGCATTGCAGCTGCTATTTTAGTTTCAGTAAAAAGCCCACAGTGTTTCTGCAGGCCACATTGCTGGCACGGAGCAGCCACCACAGCCTTGGAAAACACCATAGGTGCCCTGTGGTCTCATCAGGTCCCTGCTGGGTGAAGGGAGGAACCACTGCACTGCCTGTCACTCCCATTTCCCTTGGCAAGCAGGACCCCCTGCTACCACTGCTACTGTACAGCAACCAGGTGGAAGAAAAAAATTTGGCTCAGAGTAACTCTTGAGGCTCAGAATTAAATGATTAAATGTCAGCACTCTGTGCAGTCCTTTCTGTTGTAAAAGTGCACATTTGCTATTATTTAGAGGCTTTTTTTTTTTTTTTCTTAGAAGTTCCATTTTTAATTGAAAATTTTGTATTGAGTTCCTCTGGTATTCATCAGGTTAGAATTTGCCCTTCTATGCATAGTCTTATGTTGGCAGAATCTCTGTAAGAGTACAGGTAATCATATATGCTATCCAAATATTTTTAAATCAAGACTAGGTAGAGCTGATTTTAGTGGATTTCTAGATTTTATACTACTTAGGTTCTGATTTATAACCTTCATCTATAGTTAAGTTTTTGTGCCTCCTTATTATGTACAATGCCCTCAGGCAATTGCCCAGTGCTACCCTGATCTCAATGCATTATTAATTCCTTACTGGCAAAAAATACATTATTTATACTTACTATTGCATTTTACTCCCCATGTCTCAACAGCAGTGGACTCATCCAATCTGAACATAACTACAAAGCTGTCCATATGAAATCTTCCCCTCCTTGCCAAGTGAAATACAGACTTGCTTGTCAAGAACAAAGTATTTGACTTACCATGGATAAGTAAAGGACTTTTTTTATTCGCACACCTTACCAAAGCAGACAGATAACGAACATGTGCTGAGTTTACGTGATCACTGAGCTCTGAAACACTATGTGATTCAACTTAAAATGCTAGAGACGCTTTGCATACAAAATAGCTTGGACTTTTACAGGTGCAGAATGCCTGTGAGCCCACAGATCAATGTTATGTGAGGTCACACATATTTAACTTCACACTGACTATAGTGGCCACTGTCACAGAAGCCTGGCTTTTTCCCACATCCATAGGAAACAGGCAATCGGCGTATGCATATTCTTAAAATGACTACTTGCCTAAATGAGCTTCCTAAGTGAGAAGGGGGAGGGGAATGGGCTAATCACGACAACAGTCTGAAAAGTCTCATTACGTGACTCCCTCTGAGCTTCAGCTTGAATTATCTGATGTAGTTCTTGGCATTAAACAACTTTGCAGATGGTAAATAGGTCACACATGTATGCAACCAGGGGAGTGTATTTCAGAAGTCTTTATGTCCCCACACTTCCTCTGTGAGCCTACACTTTAATTAAAAGAGAGTACCCACGAAACAGGATGACAACATTAGTCCTGAACTGTTGCAGTTCAGCGCTTCCACCCTTCAGCCTCGCTCAGCAAGCTTTATTTAATGAGCAAGTTGATGAGGAACATTAGCACTGCAGGCCCTGCCTTGACATTGCATCCTAGGAGCACACCACCTCCTGTGGTAGGGTGCACCATGCAAGTGGGCCACACTGGCCAGCAAAGCATTTGAAAACCCAAAATTTTATCTTTAGTTTAGTCTTGAGCCTTAATACAACAAAAACCAAAAGGAAACGGTTTTAAAGTGGAACAGGCATGTATTGAATGAAACGAAGAGGATAGCACCTAGCTTCCTCATCTGACAAACTTTTTCCCCAAGTCAATCACCATCCGCCTATTTCCACATGGCAAAGACAACTGCTAAGCTCATCTTCTCTGCCCTTTTGCTCCAAGTTAGTCACGCTACCTTTTGCAGCTCTGTCCTAAATGAATTCACACACATCCTCAAGACCCTTAGCTGTCCTGTCTCTCCCTCACAGTCTGCCACCATGGTGTGGGTCCTCTGCCTGCTCTGTGACCCCTCAAACAAACATCTTTCTGCCTTCTTGCTTGTGTAGTCCAGCCAAATGGGCTTTTGGCCATGGAATATTTGAATAGGAGCTTTTGATATCTATATGAATGTCAAATTCCAGCCCTGCTCCATTGCAACTGGAGGGGTTTTTTTTGGAAGGGGGATGTGTGTGTGATTGAATTTATAATGCCCCTCCTTCCAATCTACCTTATGGTATGCAACCAGTCATAAGAGATTCAAAATACTCATGTCCTTTTGCCTGCCATTTGACCTACAGTGAAGGTGAAAACTTGTTTGCTAAAGCTGTCTCTGACTTTTAAGTTAAGAGGGTTGGCTGGTGAAGGATGATCTATGGGTATCCTTGAAGTCACTGACAAGTCAGTAACAAAGGAAGCTGTACACATTTGGACTAAGCAACTGATGGTAACCTAGGTTATCCTTTCCTGATTGAAAATACAAGCATAAAAATCAAAATGCTTCTCCACCTTGTAATTACTATAATTATTTACAGAGATTACATTGACAATCCATTCACTGGCTTCTTCTTCCCACATCTCACCTGCAGCTTGTGTTTTCCTCTCCAGCCTCTATGCAGCTGGTCATATAAAGGAAAATCTTAATTCTATTAATTACAAGAAAAGGCAGCATTTATCCAAGGTATAACTGTGCTTGAAAGCTCACAACTTCTTTTTCTCCTTGTACAAGTGACTCCTTTGAGCCATATTTGGTGCAAACATGAACTGTGGCTGAGCTGGTGTTTGTCATGGCAGGCTGGGAGCAGGACTGTGGATACTCAGCCCCCAAACCTAAATCTTCACTTCTACCTCAGACCTCAACTAATGAGAGAGGGTGCGGAGACAGACGCAGCTGAGCTTTTTTTATTTCCCCTGGGTGAGGGAGGGAAGGACATGAGCTCAGGACAGAGAGAGAAACCTTGGGCTGCTACAGCTGCTTGATTTCAAATTGTGTCTAGACACAGGGCCATGCTCAGCACAGCCAGCAGCCTGGCACCTTCCACAGGTTTACTTTAGCTGGAATTACTGTTGTAAGCTGCTGAGCTAAAGAAAGTAATTGCAGCAGCTGCACTAGCAACGGCTTGTCTCCACTGCTGTGGAAAGGGAAACATCACTGCCAGCTATAGCACAGGTATTCTAACATGACAAGGGAATACTGATGGACTTTGCTTTGAGCGTGCCTCATGAAATATCAGGGAGAGGCCACATGTTCATTAGAAAAACAGCAGCATTCCCACTTTAACTTGTGCATTTTCCTTGTGAGTTTGCCATGCTTTTTGCCCACACATGGCACCAGGAGATCTTTTCCACGTTGGTGTTGGAGACTTAAGGTAAAATGCAGATACAGAAAGGCTAAAAAAAAAAATCTTTGGCAGCCCAAGACACTTTCAGTCACATGAAATTCAGTCCTGCACCTCCTTTGCATAGTAAGCATTCCAGGCAAGAAGGCATCTGCAAGGCCAGGTCCAGACTCCTGCAGCTCCTTGTGATGGTGAGGTACCTTTACCGTCATGAAAGGTAAAGGCACGGCAGTGGGGAAGAGAGGCAAGTGGTGATTATGGGCAGAGGGGGAGAGGGGTCTCTTGGGATGGAAAAGGTCGTAGGATGAACATGAATTGTGAAGGAAAGAAAGGCTGGGGGCAGAGGGGATCTTGTCTGGGGACATACTTAAGAGGCTGAAGAGGGGTGGTAGAGAAGTTCATCATCCTGCCTGCTATGAACACTGAAAAATCTGAGGCTCTAGCTCTCCCCTTGACCAGCAGTGGCTGCAGGGGAAACGTGCTCTGTCCTCATCCTCACCTCCTCCTGTCACAGGAGCATCTGCTCCTTGCTTCAGGCAGCTGTCTCTTGATTTTATAAAGCGGAGAGTCTCTTCCACACCACAATGTCACTTCTGTTGACTTCTACTAACACTAGAAAGTAGGGAGTTCTACTCTTACCTGTTCCAACTGGCTTTTACGGGTGCTATGGCATGGCCTGCCTTATCACATGGCAGTGCTTTGCCTGCGGGGCTCCCATATGCATACATACCATACCTTCTTCTGAAATCAAGGTGGAAATAGAAATGAGCTGCATGTGTAGGTGGCTCCTCTTTAGAAGCTGTATCTTAAACTGCTTGCGTTGGATGTGTGCGTACCAAAAAACGTTGCCAAAGTCAGAAGAAAAATTGCTCAAACAAGAATGACAGTGTGGCAAGGGACTTTGTCCTCGTTGTCAGACGAGGTATTCTTGTTGCCCTGCTTTTTGGCATTTTTTTCCTACCAATGGCCCCCACCTCAAGCTAACTCCTAAAAATGTGTGTCGATGTATGAGGAAATATTGTTGCTGTACTAGGTGTTTGTATGATGACCTCTGGAGAGAGGTCATCTTTGTGAACCTGTGAGATGGCCAGTATGTCTGAGCAGAGGGAAAATAACCCACCCTAGTCTGCTATTTTTCATTTCACATTGTTGATACTGCCTGTCTTCTGACTGTTCTTTGCACAAGCTGAATGACAACTGGGGAGTGTGTTTGAGGTACTGTAAGAGTAGTGCCTGGAGTTTGCCACTGACACTTTAATGAGAAGTGATGGTTACTTTCTGTTAGTTATTTCAAAATATTTTGTTTGGAAGAATTTTAAGACTTCTAAAATAACTCAGTGTTGTTAGCAGCAGTTCTGGACAAAAACAACTCCCAGATCTTATGTTCAGTGTTTCCCCTCCTGCGTATCTCCTTACTTTGCTTGCAACAGAGCTAGGAAATAAAGGTGTCACTTCTTTCATTGCTCATTCTGCAGGAAGAAGGAATAATGAGTGGAGAGAAATAAAGGGAGAAAAAACTGTTTTGGCTCTGTGGGCCTCTTGTGTGACAGTTTCATCTCTGTAACTGCAGGTTCATAAGGCAGGAAAGCTATGACTACCCTGTGCTCTTCGTCTCCCTAGGCCTAGTGGTGTGCCAGAGTCATTAATAGCAGAGCCAAAGGGGTCCATTTTGATTCACCATAAAGAAAAAAAAGCGAAGCAGCACCTATGAGAGCACGCTGAACAGAAGCTGGCAACCACTGACCAAGACCTTTTTGAATCTGTAAATGTCACTCATGCATTTTGAAGAAGTAACACAGCTAAAATGCTTGGGAATTCTGACTTCTATGAAATGAAAGGTGTGGTGCTCAGGAAATAAACCAGATGGTCACATCATCAATTGACAAGTGCAGAAGGAATGATCCCCAAATGGAGGATGTCTATGCAGAATTGACCTCAGATTGAAATAGCACCTGCTAGGGATCAAAGCACATCTTCTGTGAGAGCTGCTGTACTTCTGAGGCAAAGCCATCAATCCACAGCCCCAGTGAATAGATTTTTCTGTAAGGACCTTTCAATTGCAGCTGGTCATCTAAGCCTGGCCTTTGCATGTACAAAGTTGATTTTCACTTTAGCAGTTTAACATGCAACTATTTGTAATTATATTACCTAGACACAAGCAAAACTCTTTTCAGCCTGCTGAGGATGTAACAGGTGATGCTCATTTGCATACTGGAGGTATTTGTGCTACCCAGTAGTGCTTCAAAAGAAAGAATATTTTACTTGTCTCTTACAAAGTCTAAGACTTTGACTTGTCACCTGGAGAAACATGCTACTTATCGCTAGATCTGAATGTTTCTATGTGCTTGCAAAGCTATATGTAAGAGCTTGTATACAGCATAGCTGTACACACAATATTGCTCCATATATCTTGTGGGTGACACGTGTACTATGCCCATTTGGCTTTCATACTTCCTACTGAAGCAAGTGATCAGTGCTAATTCTGAGTGATGGCAGAGCTAAGTCTTGTTTCTGGGTCTTGCCACGGTGATGATTTAATAATTTAACCTGCCATGATTTTATATCCTTTTTTTTTCTTTTTCCGCTGTATTTACATCGCTGCTCTGAATATCCTTGGGATAGAAGAGCTCTTGAGGGAGCCTCAAGTCCTCGACAGGACCTGCCCAGGAGCCGGCAGCTCAGCTGACAGGAGCGAGCAGCTGACTCACAGGGGGCGGAGCCAGGAGCAGTGGCACCAGCCCTGAGCGGTTAAAAACCTGCCCCAGGGAGCGCAGTGAGGCAGTTACAGAGCGGGGTGGTGAGCACCCGTTGTATGAGCAGGGCCCGGTCTGGGAGCTCTGCTCTGGCTGCCCCGGCGGTGGCCAGGGTATGCACCAGACAGAGCCGGTGAGAGGGGAGGCTGCAGTGCAGAGCTCGGGGTGTAGAGAGTGCCTGCACTGGTCCCGTGAGGAGGGGGTGCGCAATGGGCAGGGCTGCACTCGGTGCTCCCTGGTGGAGGTCCTCCTGCAGCAGGGGCTGAGCTGCGGGGTGCTGTTAATAGGCTGCGAGATGTCAGGGAAGCGGAGAGGAAGCAGGAATGCTTGCTCCTGGCCCAAACTGTGCAGGGGCCTCGAGCTTCGCCTGTACCTCATGAAAGAAAGAAGGAGGCCGTTAACCTGGGAAGCTGGGAATTACTGACAAAAAAAAAAAAAAAAAAACAACAAAACAAAAATACAAAAGAAAAAAAAGGAGGAAAAGGACAGCTAAAAGCAAGGGGCTTCCCCCTAAATCCCCTGTCCCAACGCAGAACCGCTTTGCTGTCCTGCAGGGGGCTCATGAGGAAACGCACTCGTGCCAGAAACAGCCGGCTGATGCCCTGGTAAAGAAGATCTCTACTGGTGCTGCCAGGAAAAAGCGGCGGGTCGTAGTAGTAGGGGACTCTACACTGAAAGGGACAGAAGTACCCGTCTGCCGGCCAGACCCCGTCTCAAGGGAGGTGTGTTGCCTACCAGGGGCATGGATCAGGGATGTGGCAGAGAGGCTGCCTGCTCTAGTAAGTCCCACTGACTGTTACCCACTTCTGGTGATCCATGTGGGTGCTAGGGATATAGATAGTAGTAGCCTGGGGAACATAAAGAAGGACTACAGAGCCCTGAGAGAGCTGTTTAGGGGCTCTGGAGCGCAGATATTCTTTTTGTCAATTCTCCAGGGTACAGGGGAGGACCCTAAAAAGGCTAGGAGGATCACCCAGGTTAATAAATGGTTAAAAGGGTCGCGCCATAGTCAGGGGTTTAGGTGTCTTGAACACGGGACCCAAGCTTGTAGGCCAGGTCTAGTGGGGGCTGGTGGAGCTGGTCTGATAAAGAAGGGAAAGAGCAGTTTTGGTAGGAGTCTTGCCAGACTGGTCAAGGAGGCTTTAAACTAGATGTGTTGGGGGAGGGGGGCATCATTCCATCCCAACACACCCAGTCAGTTGCCAGAACCTATAATAAATGGTCGGAGCAATGTAGAGATATCCCAGCCACTCCAGCCAATGAGCTGGCTTCAGTTGGAGCTCAGCTCAGATGCCTCTATACAAATGCCCGTGGCATGGGGAACAAACAAGAGGAATTAGTGATGTGTGCACATCTACGAGGGTATGATATAATAGGCGTCACAGAAACATAGTGGGATGGCTCCTATGACTGGAGTGTTGGAATGGAAGGTTACAGGCTTTTTAGAAAAGACAGGCCTGGCAGGCAGGGAGGGGGGAGTTGCCCTTTATGTTAGGGATAGGCTGGAGAGTATGGAACTCTGTCTGGGGACAGGTGAGCAGTCCACAGAGAGTTTGTGGGTCAGGGTTAAAGGGAATATAGCTATTGGAGACATTACTGTGGGGATCTGTTACAGACCACCTGATCAAGGAGAACCTCCAGATGAAGCACTCTGTAGACAGTCAGGAAAAGCCTCACACTTGCAGGCCCTTGTTTCTCATGGGTGACTTCAACCACCCTGACATCTGTTGGAAGGACAGTACAGCCCAGCACAAGCAATCCAGGAGGTTCCTCGATTGTGTAGAAGACAACTTCCTTCTGCAAGTAATAGAGGAGCTGACAAGGAGAGGTGCCATGCTTAACCTCGTGCTCGCCAACAGGGCAGGGCTCGTTGGACGTGTGATGCTCCAGGGCAGCCTTGGATGCAGCGATCATGAGATGCTCGAATTTGAGATCCTCAGGACAGTGAGAAGAGCGTGCAGCAAGTTCATTGCCCTGGACTTCAAAAGAGCAGACTTTGGCCTCTTCAGGAACCTGCTTCGGAAAGTTCCATGGGATACAGCCCTAGAGGGCAGAGGGGCCCAAGACTGTTGGTTGATATTCAAGGATCACCTGCTGCAAGCTCAGGAGTGTTGCATCCCAAGGAATTGCAGCAGGGGGGCCAGGAGACCTCCATGGATGGATAAGGAGCTGCTGAGGAAAATTCAAATGAAAAAAGAGGCTTATAAAAGGTGGAGGCAAGGACAGGTGGCATGAGAAGAGTACAGGGATGTTGTGCGGGAAGCTAGGGACCAGGTTAGGAAAGCTAAGGCCCAGTTAGAATTAAACTTGATTAGGGATATTAAAGATAACAGGAAGGGATTCTACAGGTACATAGCAAATAAAAAACAGACTAGGGAGAATGTAGGCACCCTAAGGTAGCTCTTAGGAGAACTGGCTACACAGGATTTGGAGAAGGCTGAGGTTCTGAATGACTTCTTTGCCTCGGTCTTCACTGGCAAAGGCTCTGACCAAACCACACAAGTCTTGGAAGGCAGATGCAGGGACTGTGAGAATGAAGACCTCTGGCCCACTGTAGGAGAGGATCTGGTTTGAGACCATCTTAAAAATCTGAACGTGCACAAGTCCATGCGTCCTGATGAGATCCATGTGCAGGTCCTGAAGGAGCTGGCGAATGAAGTTGCTAAGCCACTGGCCATCATATTTGAGAAATCATGGCAGTCAGGTGAAGTTCCCAATGACTGGAAAAAGGGAAATATAACCCCCATTTTCAAGAAGGGGAAAATGGATGACCCGGGGAATTACAGACCAGTCAGTCTCACCTCTGTGCCTGGCAAAATCTTGGAGCAGATTCTCCTGGAAGGCATGCTAAGGCACATGAAAAACAACAAGGTGCTTGGTGACAGCCAGCATGGCTTCACTAAGGGGAAATCCTGCCTGACCAATTTGGTGGCTTTCTATGATGGGGCTACCGAACTGATGGATGGGGGTAGAGCAGTTGATGTCATCTACCCGGACTTGGGTAAAGTGTTCAACACTGTCCCACATGACATCCTTGTCTCTAAACTGGAGAGACATCAATTTGATGGATGGACCACTCGGTGGATAAAGAACTGGCT